TTGTGCTCAAAATGACAAAGGGTCGCTGAAGATAATTCATGAATATTTCTTAAGCATTGATAGGGAATTTGATCAAATTTAGACAAATTCTATCTAAAGTTGGGTTGGGTTTAAAGATATGGGGCTGAAAATCGTGGCCCAGAAGACAGAACTAGTATTACTGTAGGGAAAGAGAAAATTAAAATCATAGAATAGTTCCACACTTCCGGCCGAAGAACAGAAGATGATTGAGTTGGGTTGAGCTAGATACAAAAATAGAAGCTGCTAATACTTTCGCAATGCTTATATTAGCTTCCTTTTTGTACAATCAGCTGGAATGTCATGAATATAGCGTAGAATTTTCTATCTTCGTATCTTCGTTCGTAGACTATACCTGCCCGGGGATACTGGAAGAAGAAAGTCTTCATTGATTATGATCAAGACAAAGTAACAGACAACGAATTAGTTGGTTGTGAAATCAGTATTAAAGGTACAGCCAAATTATTCTAGATAAAATCCTTCTTGAGTGTGGTAGAATTTACCACATAAACAGTATCAACTTGGTTCAAAAGCAAATGATCATTGTAATCAAAATCAGAACATGTAATGACTTCTAAAGATCATTTATATAAACAAAAAATAAAAATGGACCAAGATATTATTTATTAATACTAAATATGATGAAAATGGATTCATAAAAATCATATTTTGACATTATCTCTTAGCTATTAATTTGATCTTTTCTTTAATAATAATTTTAGGCTACCACCTTTTTTACCGTTCTCAAGACCCGCTACTTTAATTACTACCTTCTTTTCACTCTCTCTAAGTGTTTTAACGTTGATTTCGATCAAAAGAGGGTTGATTTAACCCCAACCGTCCGTCACGTGAGTCGATCTCGATCTAGTTAGCACCTAAGAAGAGTTAAATACCATCCGTCCCAATTAATTACAACCTCGCTGGGCCAATTTCAGTTGTAATCTGCGCGGTCGATCGCGGAACTTTTTTTTATAGAGGGAGGAAGGTGTGAAGAAGGTGCGTGTGCATTTGGGGCGCCTTTCTAAAACGAAAAGGCGGCAGCTTAATTGTTTTACGGGAACGGGAATGAAAAAATCGTCCTATTAACATGAGAATTGAGCCGACGACGACGAACCAGTGAGATGGATTGCTTCGAAGGACGACTTCCAGGACCTTTACCTGAGCGTATCGAGACCGTACATCAGCTTAATGATTCGCCTTTTTCCTGGGGCCTCCGGTTGTTGTTGTTGTTGGACGAGTGCGTTCCGCATAACTCCCGCGCAAAAAAAAATGGTAAGAGGTTTACCTCGAGGTGAGGTCCGCGGAAAAGAACAAATTCAAAAAATCATTGCCAAGGAAAAAAATCGACGTAAATTACGGTTCTTCGCGTACCAAAAGAAGAAGTTTAAGTAAGAAGTTTACAAATTAGATACTTATTTCTTAAAAAGATCGTATCTCTTAAAGACTTAATTACGTCAAGATACTGAAGATCTTTAGATGAGTTGGATGGATTTTTCGTCCTGATTGAGATTTCTTTTAGATAAAAAAACCGATTGGTTATTTTTAATGTTTATTTAATGAGAAAAAGTCTTATAAGATAAATACTTCCCAAATAAAATTAATATTTTTTTGATACGAATCGAAAATATTCAAGAAGAATAAGTACATGTAATGATTAAAATGGGGAAGTGTTTAAACGCGATTCGAAAGGAATTTATCCGAACTGATACATTATTTTAAAGTAACTTCTTCGCATAACTGAATCTTAATAACACTTAAAATTGCGCCGTCTTACATTACTAAAATTGAGCGACATCCGGATTAATATTATAGATCTCAGAGGCAGAAAGGCCATCCAATATAATAATCGAAGTGTCATCACCGCGCATAAATGCGCCGCTATTAGTAATAAACTCGAACAGGTCATTAATACAACGTCAGATTAACTGAAGATATGAAGAAACCGCTCCAGGGCTTAATGACTTTCGAATTTTTCGCACACCACAAACATAATATGTGACATATAAAAATTTGTTTAAATATAAGATAATTTGAATAAATAGATGTGTTAAAAAAATGGTTATGGTTTGAATACTAAGAGGAGGCTGACCGCAAAAAATCGCGGTCTTTTTGACCCCAAGAAAGCCGTTGGAAACCTTATCTTGTAATCCACCGTGTAACCTGTAGTAAGAGAGATGAAAAAGAAACGGAATTTCACCAAACCAAACTATAGATTGATTTGTAGTTGTATTGTTGTAAGGTGAATGGGTACGAGGTGTCACGCCTCATTCTTTTGCTGGACTTTTGCCACTGCCCATCAACAATGAACCTCACGCCTCGGGATCAATGAATGCAATTAGGATCCATTCTCAGACTTCTTTCACTAGGTACTTGAGTGATTTTCGCATGGGACGCTTTTCAAAACTCGACCCAAAGGAGGAAGGTTTTTTTTCTAAACACAGCTGATCGTTTCAGCTGATTTTTAGTGAAACCCTTTAAACTGTTTGTGAGTGACACATTTTTTTGAATAGTACTAGAAAAATTAATTAAAAAATTTCTTAATAACACGCATCATTATCTTTAATTAAATATTTCTTTCCATCGGTGGTCGAGATAATAAAAAAAAACAATTCATAATTAAGCTCACAATCAGTGGTCTACTAGGTGCGTAGTATAAAGAAAGAAGAAACGACCCAAGTTAATAAATAGCATCCGTTTTCGATTGGAAATCGATGGTTGAGCAACCCCCTTTAGATTAATAACACACCCCTTTTCTTAAGAAAAAAACTGCCCTCGTTTTCATGCTCTATTCACCAAACAATAGGAGTCCTTTAATTTAGTTTTGGAAATTAAAACTTAATTTTTTATTCTTAATTAACACAAAAACATCTCAAAAATGAAACACGTGTTAAAGAATTCTTGGTTCTAATAACTAACCGCTTCTTTACGGGATTTTTATCGTTGTGGTTTCAATTGGTCGAGCAAATAATGACATAACATACTTAATTGTTTTACTCATCAAATGTATTAAGGCTCATTGAGAAACCCCGTCTAGATGCTTGTTTTTCGCGGTCCGAGGTTGTGAACCGCACCTAATTAGCCTTAAAAAGGAAGAAGGGAATTAAAGAGATCATCGATTTGTCGGGGCAGCTCGCTCTTTAAAAAAACATCTTTCACTTTCCCTTTTTCCTCATCCACTAGTAGACGTATTAAAAAGCGTTTAAAAGTTTTAGAACCATCCATTAACTTAATACTTAACGACGAAATTATCGACTTTTAACTTGAAATAAATTGAAAAATGATTCAAAAAAAAGTTTCAAAAAAAAAAAAAGATTTAAATTGAAAAGGAGAATATAGAAAACGGTGTTGGTAAACGAACCGCCCTGTGTAGGGAACACATGTAGCATTGTTTGGAAAAAGATTTACTTCACAGGAAGTCGCAGAGATATTGTGGCGCACGCCCATTGAAAAACGAACCGACAATTATACTTGTGTTAAGATTGTGTCTGTGACAACGAAACCGAGGTGTTAAACTAGCTTTTACTATAGGTTATTGTTGTAGGCGTCACGCCGTTTTAAAACTCCAGGTTTTGCTTTAATTATTATCGGGAAGACCCGTTCCTAGAAACTCTTTCAGTCATTCTAAACTCAACCTGACAGCAATAATTTATTTTCTATACATACAAAAATTCGGGTGTTATTTTTGCTCAATCCAACATTTCTATTCAATTTAAAAGAATTTTGGATGTATTTTGTAAATGTTTTTTTAGAATTACAGTAAAACTTATAATATAACGCACAAGATAATTTTAAGTCATACTATTAATTTTATTTATTTAATTCTATTTAAATACCAATGTAAACGCAAATAGATAGAATCTACTTCGTGTTATTCCCCAAGTTATTCTATTCCATGTTCATAGATAAACTCGGGGTATTCCCCGATCAAGGGGGAATTAAGGACGGTAGTTTTAAACTAGGATTTATATAAAATAAACATGTTTCGAAAACTAATGTTTCATCTTCAGTACCTAAATTTATGAAAAAGAAGAAACAAATTAAACAAAGGTTAACCGGAACGTATTAATAACGGTAAAAAGAAAATCGGAATTTGAAAGGTGAACTTACATAGAAAAATTATACAATATAATGGAATTAGTTAATATGTGGGGTTCAGGAGTAGATCTAATTTCTTATAACTAAATTACATTTAAATTAGATTAACAAAATCACAGATTAAAAACTTCAACAAAAAAGGATAAAATCTTGGAAGGTATCGTAAGATAAGGGTGTGGCGTAAAAAACGTTATTATAATATAGCACGTACGGAATACAAAAAGAAAAAATAAAAATTTTTGATTAATTAGTTAAATTTGTGGTATAAGCGAGAATATTTGTTTTCTATTATTTCATTTAATAAATTATCTGTGTTATTTTTAGATTGTTTGTATATTTCGTATTCTTCCAGTAAGTCCAGCTTCAAAAATTCCGATATATTCAAACATATTACAGAAACTAAACATAAAATAAGTCTTAATAATATGGAACTTATTCATAACCAACCTAAATCTTCGTTTACTAAGAACAAAATCCTTTTTATTTAAATAAATCAACATAAAACAAGTTCTCTGAGTAAGAAGCTGCATTTGTGCGAAACCCATGCTTTCACGATATAACCGACATTTCTGATGAAGTGCAAGATGAATTTTCGTCCCTGTTACAAATAAATTCAAAATCCAGAAATAAACTTAAAGTTGAGGAGGCACTGATCCTAGGTTTTAGTTAATATCTACTTGTACTTCTAAAATTCTGTTTTGTTAAATAATAGGTATAAAATATACTACCTATGTAGGTACTTTTTTACATTATTTTATCTCTATACTTTATCATTCTTTTTTTTTGTAAGAAATCCATATGAGACTGTTATAGTATTAGAATATAAACAATTATAAAAACCAAATGGGCCTCAAAGTCTCAATTTATTTTAAAATTTTTTCTTTTTAAAATATATTTAAATTTACATGGTACATGTTTCGACTTTCGTCATCATCAGCCAAATCTATAAACATCAGCAACAAATATATTAAAACGTTAAAGTAAATTAAAGCACTACTTACAGTCAAAGGTGTAAAAAGGTAAAATATATCAAAGAATAAACACGTTCAACACATAATCACAATCGAAAATACTTATAAAATAGCGAAGCGAAATTTTCTTCTATTTTAAAAATAAACCATTTCTAAACAAAATAAAATTATAGAACGAACGACCAAAACAAGAAAGGAAAAATGTCTGTCAAACAACACGAGAAGAAACACAATGAAGNTGGTTATGTTTTTAAGTATGTTGATCAAATTATTTATATCATTATTAGTAATGTTGATGGGAAGATTATTGTTGTTTTCAATTTTTTTGGAATTGAGAAAATTTTTTATGATTTTTAATGTTTCTTTGATTGGGACATTGGTATATAGATTTTTTATATCTAGGGAGATGAGTTTTGTATTTTTGTTTATTCTTATTTTATCAAGTTTTGAAATTAGTTCTGAAGAATTCTTTATAGAATATGTGGATTTGAAATTGAAAGATTTAGTTAGAATACTATGTAGGGCTTTAGATATAAGGTGACAAGGAGAGTTGATATCGCTGACTATGGGTCTGATGGGTTCACCTGTTTTGTGTAGTTTTATTAGACTGTGTAAAGTGGGATGTAGAGGATTCATGGGTATGTATTTTTTATTTGAAGGAAAAAATTTGTTTAGGGTATTTGATGATTTTTTCAAAATATCCTTAAGTTTATTGGTAAAAGCAGGAAGAGGGTCTTTGTGGAGTAAGGTAATGTTATTGTCGTTAAAGAAAGATAAGGTTTTTGAAATATATTCAGATTTATTAATTAAAACTAGGCCTGCATTTTTATCTGCTAGTGTACATATTATATCGTGTTTGAGAAGGTTGTTTTTCAAAGAGATAATGGTATTTTGATATTTAGAATTGGAACTGTTATATGTGGAAAAATTCTTTCTTTTGGATTTAAATTTATGTAAATTGTGTAGGAGATCGGCTTTAAGTTTAGGGAAAATGGGATTAAAAAGTAATTGGCTTTCAATATCGATGGCTAAAGAAGTGGAATTGAAATTGTGAGTGTTAATGGAAAATTTGTGTCCTAAATTAAATAGTTCTATTTCTGAAGGTGATAGTGAATAGTCAGAGAGGTTAGTGTATTTAGGCGCGAATGTAAAATGTGATTGTTTATTATCATATGTGATATTATAATTGTTATTATTAATTTCTAGTCGTTTGATATTAAAGTTATTGTTAGAATCCTTTGAGTTAGACTTACTGGATAGAGTGTTGTTCTTTAATAAGCTTAATTACTTACGGTAGTTTTAGTTTTAATAATTATTGAGCGCTAGATTGTTGTATATTTTTATTGAACCAAAACTAAAACTAACACCAGACCCGGCTTTGGCCGGATATTAAAAACCTCTTTTAGGTGTTAGACACTGCACACTGAGAGAAATGGATTGTACTATGCACAAAAAATATACCATAAAGTATAATTACTTTACTACGAAAAGTGACAGCGAGACGAGATTGTATTCAGTACAATAAATATAATGAATATAATACAATGAATTGCTGCATGTATAATATTTTTTCTATAATACGATTCGTACAATCTATTTCTNTCATATTTCTTTTCTCTTTATCAATTTCTAGTCTTTCTAATAAGTGAAGTTTAAGACCCTTATCACATTTATGAATTAATTTAACGTTGTCATAGTCAATAATATGACCTGTTTCGATGTGGTGTTTAAAAACGTTAGATGATAGTCTATTTTTGTGTTCTTGCATTCTTGTGTGTAATTTCCTACCAGTCTGACCGATGAATATGAACCTTATATAAGGTTCATATTTTTTTTAACAAAAATAAAATAAATTTTGACAATGCAGGAAAATAGGTATGTAACAGTTGGCAACACCGTAACGTATGAAAATAGAAATTTGAATTGACAATTAGAAATTGTCAAAACACAAAATGTATTCACCTGAAAATAATCTTTAGTGTACACCTCCCAAAATAAGAGAAATTCTCAGAGTTCAATGTCCTCATCATTGTGGATCTTGTATTCGATGCTAAGAACGTGTTTAAACATCCATCGACAAAAACCCAATTTTCGTTGCCTGGTACTTAAACCCAGCGGCGGTGGCACAATATTCTCCATTCTCCCATTTTCTTTATTTTCCTGTTCAAGAATTGTAGTATTATTCTCAACATTCTCTTTATTATCATTATCATCCTGACGTACCTTCTTTTTTAGATTTATTTTTATTTGCGTTTTTCTTAAATGCTCCCTATTTCTTCTCACTAGTCTACCATTGTTACTTTGAATGATGTATGGATGTACCTTGGCTCACATGCTTTACCTATAATACGACTACCTTGCCATTGTTTAATTTGCGATATATCAGTATTCATCATAACATTATCACCCACCTCTACATCTTGTAAATTTTTTTTCTGAATGGCATATTGTCACTAACCACAATACTTGGAATACCGTGAGTAGCAAATACTTTTTTAAATGCATTTATAACATCTGTTGCTGTCTTTGACTTCATCTGAATTATTTCAATCCATTTCGAGTAATAGTCGACAAATCATAAATATTTTTTTCCTATATATTGCACTCTGCAATATCCGCCCCTAACTTTTGAAACGGAAACCTTGAAATCTTATGCAACATCATTGGAGCATGACTGTTTGCATTTTGCTATTTCTAACATACAATGCATTTACTTATTAACTCGTCAATATCCCTATTGATGTTGGGCCAATAAAGAACTTTAAGAAGTTCTTAATTTTGTCTTCGTACGACCAAAGTGACCATCATGTAATACTTTTACCATGTTTTTTCTCAATGCCTCAGGCACTATGACTCTTTCGCTGTAAAACACCAAATATTATATATTCCACCTCCGCTATCAAACTTCTAGAATAATATGAAACGGGCTTTAGATTTTGTACCAAACACATCCTATACTAAATTTTGATGCGTCTGTTTGGATAACCGGTACAATTTTTGGATCAAATCCGGCTAAAACTGTCGTTTTACAGAGTGCAAACAATCTTTAATTATTTTTAAACAATCATTATGAGATGACTCCCATTGAAAACAAACGTCATTCTTAAGCAATAACCTTATTGGTGCTGTCAATTCAGCTAGATTTGGAATATATGCACGCAAACAATTAATCATGCCTAAAAGTCGCTGTAATTCTTTTTTATTGTTTGGCGGTGTCAAATTGGTTACTGCTGTTATTTTTTCTGGATCAGTAACCAAACCCAATTTACTACAATCCTTCAGCCCTAAGAATGATCTCTTAGCACCCTGAACGACAAAAAAGTCTATTAATTCACGCTTGTTTTTATACATACAAGAAAATTTAATTTTGCCTATATGATCAATGTTGGCTGCTCCATACGCTTCTAAAATAGTCTTTGATTTCTTTAGACTCTCTGATTTCTTTTGGTAGCACAGCCTCGTAGTCTTTCCCTCGAAATATGCTTACTTCGGATCCTGTATCGAGCTGGAAATTGATATTAACGCCTTGAACGGATGCATCCTCACACCACGTAGACGTGGTGTTTAAAAACGTTAGATGATAGTCTATTTTTGTGTTCTTGTATTCTTGTGTGTAATTTCCTACCAGTGTGACCGATGAATATGAACCTTATATAACCTTATATAAGGTTCATATTCATAAGGGGGGTCATGAAAATTTTGTAAAAATTCAAAAGGGCCACACCTGAAAATAGGTTGGGAACCGCTTCTCTAAATCAACCACATATGACTTTTTAATTTTTCAAATTTTGACACATGGTGAATATTTGACACAGTTTTATTATTTAAACAAAAACCAAACAAAATTATTAAACGAAAATGATAGTTCTTAATCATCGATACTTTCAAACATGGTGAATATTTGACATAATTTTGGGACGCTTTTTTATCATAAACACTTACATTGCGATATGTCGCCATAAAGTATTTGCTTTTAACATAAATTTAACATAAAAGTTATTTCCTGAACATTCTAAATGAGCCAGACATGATTTTTTTTTAATTTACTGGGTTATTTACATTTGGAGAGTCAAAATATCAATAATTTTCAAGCATGTTTTTAACTGTAAAGAAATTATTTTACAAAGTTATCTTTTTATACGTTTTTTATTCATATTTGAGGTAGCTTTCCAAAAATATTTTAAATAGAAACAATACTTTTCCGTGTGCTAAAAGTCCAAAAGTGCTATGAAACGAATGAAACCAAATTTATTTTAATCACTAATGTTGTGATTCTAGCTTGTACTAAAATCTTTGATAAATAGTGAAAGATAGAAAAACGGCGGCTTGTTAACAATTAACATGTGTTTCATACGTATTTTCGCTTTCACAGACTAAAAAGAAAGGAAAATTTTAGCGGATTAAAATAATTGTAGTTCTATCTACAAAGAATCTATTTACGAACAAAATAATTTTTGTGTAATCTTGTAAACCATTTCGAAAAATGAAGTTTAAGGTAAATATTCTCAACCAGCATATGCATGGTAAAAAAAAATAGAAAAACTAAAACTTCTGCTTAATCTTCATGAATTATAGAACCAAAACAGTGATTAAAAAACGTTTTTTTTTTAATTTTAAACGTATATATTCTATTAAACTTAAAAAGTCTGTAAATATCCTTAACATTTTTTTTATATTAATGTCACCCTTAAATGATTTTTTACCGTTTTTAGAACGCCGCTCCTCTTCATCCCTCACCAAAACCTTTTATAACAACAGCTCCATCTATCATTCTTCTTTGAATTGTAATCGTTTAACCACGCCCTCAAAAACAGACCAACTCTGATCATTTCCCTGTTCTATATGGAGCTCCCCCACCACTAAATCAATCCAATTTTCGCAGTTGGAGGGAGGAAAATCAGTAGTGGGGATGTGTTTATGATTTCTATGGGGGGGATAGAGAGGGGAAGTTGTTAAAAATTATTTGTATACTGGTTGTTTCAAATTGGATAATGGATTTTTACGACACGATAAAGAAATCTGAAAAATATAAAAGTAAATTTTTAAAAAAAGTGTCGCGATTAGCTGTTGCGAAAAAAAATTG